GACCCCGTGGTGACCCCACCATGTTTGTGTGACCCCGTGGTGACCCCACAGTGTTTGTGTGACCCCACCATGTTTGTGTGACCCCGTGGTGACCCCACAGTGTTTGTGTGACCCCACCATGTTTGTGTGACCCCGTGGTGACCCCACAGTGTTTGTGTGACCCTGTGGTGACCCCACAGTGTTTGTGTGACCCCACCATGTCTGTGTGACCCCGTGGTGACCCCAGCGTGTCTGTGACCCCGTGGTGACCCCACCATGTTTGTGTGACCCCATGGTGTCCCCACCATGTTTGTGTGACCCTGTGGTGACCCCACAGTGTTTGTGTGACCCCGTGGTGACCCCACAGTGTTTGTGTGACCCCACCATGTTTGTGTGACCCCGTGGTGACCCCACCGTGTCAGTGACCCCGCGGTGGCCCTGCCACCCCATCCCCGTCCCCGTCCTTGTCCCCTCCCAGATTTCACGGCCCAGCACCCGTCGCAGCTGCTCCGCTCCAGCTACATCTTCCTCTTCCAGCTGCCCTGGCTGCCCGAGCTGCTCCTGGCCTTGGCTGACTTCCAGGTGAGACCCCTCCCCCTGGCCCCGCCCCAGCCCCACCCCGGCCCCGCCCTGGCCCCACCACGCCCCTGCAGCACCTCCCGCCCCGAGAAGCGTCACCCATCCTGGTGTCACCGTGGTGTCACCCTGGTGTCACCCTGGTCACTCAGGGGTCACCCCGTGGTCACCCTGGTCACTCTGGTCACCCTGGTGTCACTGTGGTCACCCTGGTCACTCTGGTGTCACCGTGGTCACCCTGGTCATTCAGGGGTCACCCTGGTCACCCTGGTCACTCAGGGGTCACTGTGGTCACCCTGGTCACTCAGGGGTCACCCCGTGGTCACCCTGGTCACTCAGGGGTCACCCTGGTCACTATGATCACCCTGGTGTCACCGGGGTCACCCTGGTCACTCTGTGGTCACCCTGGTCACTCAGGGGTCACCCTGGTCACTATGCTCACCCTGGTGTCACCATGGTCACTCTGGTCACTCAGGGGTCATCCTGGTCACTATGATCACCCTGGTGTCACTGGGGTCACCCTGGTCACTCAGGGGTCACCCTGGTCACTCTGGTGTCACCGTGGTCACCCTGGTCACTCAGGGATCACCCTGGTCACTCTGGTCACCCTGGTGTCACTGAGGTCACCCTGGTCACTCAGGGGTCACCCTGGTCACTCTGGTGTCACCCTGGTGTCACCATGGTCACCCTGGTCACTCAGGGGTCACCCTGGTCACTCTGGTGTCACCCTGGTGT